TCCCACTGAGTGTCCAAGGCAAGGAGTTGGAACTCTGCAGCGTAGATCGAGGCAGGACGAGACCCCTGAGAGAGACGTCTCATCTTTGTGGTAGCAGCCCGAACCCGATCCGTCTCGCCAAAACATGTTTCGAGCTTCTCTTTGAACAATTGAAGATCCATCAGCTCCGGAACCACGACCCCTTTCATGCTCTTCTCCAGAAGAGGAGAAAACCATGACAAAGCTGCACCCTCGAGCAACGTCCCAATCGCGCCGATTTGAGACTCAGGAGTGGGGTACCGCCGATGTTGAAGTGCAAAGATCAGCTCCATTTGATTCAAAAATCCACGAAGCTCCGAACGCTTGCCTGAAAATTTCGCCGGGAAACTCACCTTCGGTTCAGGAACTTTGCTGGATCCTTGAGCCGAAAGTGAAGCAAGCTCCTGCTGCATGCGAAGAAGGGTCGCCTTCAGCTCGGTATTCTCAGACTGGATTTTTGCAAGGACTTCGGCAAAGAAATCAGGATGGCTTGGAGACTCCATTGGCAAGAAGAAAGAAAAGAAAGGGGGGAAAAGACAAAGGCAATCAAATAATCAAAACAAGCTAAAAGAAAAGCAAAAAACACAATCTGAATCAAATTGTCAAGACCCCCAACAAGATCAAGACTGGAAAATGCTAAAGACAAAGAGAAAAAGCTAGCGAAAACAAAGAAGAGGCCTTAGACTGGTGTTGATTCAGATTGTGGAGAAATGGAACAAGGCTAACCTATATATACTATAGGTTGATGAAGCTCCACCACTCTTGGATCGAGGACGGCCTAAATACAGCTGAGGTCGAGGAGGCGCCACATCATCATCAGGAATGTGGCTCGAGACTCAGGAATCGGGAAGTGTCTCGAGAGTCAGGAATAGGGAAGTGTCTCGAGAGTCAGGAATAGGGAACTGTCTCGAGAGTCAGGAATGTGGTCTGCAGGTCAGGAATCCGGCGAGAGTCAGGAATGTGGCAAGAATTGGGGTATACGGAGGTTGGGTTCGAGTCCCGACCCTCTAGTGCTTGGGTTCGAGTCCCAACTCACTAGGGCGTGGTGATGGTTTGGAATATGAGGACACTCATTTTTCGGTGGTCATGGACTCTCAGTGTGGAGACTGGTTTGGGCACACCGCCAAGCGAGGGATGCCTCGGAGTCGTGATGCACGGTTAGATTGCTTAGTGTGGCTCAACATATCTAACTTGAACATTTTGGTGCAAGTGGCACCAAGGACGTGGTGAATGAGATGGGGACACCCAGTCTCAATTGCTATGAACCCTTGGCCGGAAGGGCTAGCTTGGGCGCACCGCCAAGTGTGGGGGATGCCCCCGGGGTCGTAGTTAACAAGTTAAAGGTCTGGAAGACCTAGTACCTATTGGCAAACCTGTTAAGGTGCCAAGGTGAGATCACTAGGTGATCTTGTGGCTAAATAAGGACAAGGTCTTTGTTTGGGGTAAGGAATAAGGTCCTTAGTTCAAAGTGTTGATTTGAACTATTGAGGATGGTGTGGCTTGGTCAAGGTGACCAAGTGGGGAAAAGCACCTTAGGGAAATGAGCTATGTTATTGCGATGGCATAGTGTGTCCAAGGAAAGTAGTCTCTATAAGAGACCCATGGGAGGGTCACAAAGTTGGGCCGTGGATAGAGCCCACAGCAGAAAATGCTAAAGAGACTTACTAGGGGTGAACACCCTAGTCTTGGCAAAACCGAGCCTTTGCTATGGAATCAAAAGAATACCTCAAGGAGGGAGGTAGAGATTTGGTGTTGCTTGGTGCAACCATCAACAGATAGGAGCAAAAGATGAGTGGCCAAGAATCCCTTGGAAGGAATCCAAGTGGCAAAGTTAGGCGAGGAACACTAATGTGTTGGATGCTAACAAATTGCGGGAAAGGAAGCGAGTCTCCAAGAATGGATTCTGAATTGCTCCGATTTGGCGAAAAGGGAAGCTCCGAGGGATGGAGCGGTAAGGTAGCCAAATGATAGGGCCATGGACAGCCCTAGCACAAAGTATGATAACTGGAACTTAGTACCCAAGGTGGCACGAAATAGAAGAGAGGATGATGGTGCCCTCAAGTAGAGAACTTCCTAGGAGGAGGGAGTGGAGTTGCACAATATGTGCAATGCAAGGTGTTGGAAACACCTAGGGAATTGACTTCCAGAAGTCAAAGAGTAAAAGTTCCAAGGTGCAAACGTTCAATCAATGGAAATTGAGACTACTCGAGAAGGAGTAGTGGTATTGACTTAGAGAAGGGTCTCTAAGAGGTTTAGTGAGAACTAAATCAATAAAAGGGGAGAACCACTACCTGTGGTCCAATCAGTCTCTAAGTTGGAGAGACTACCCTCCTTAGAGGATGGGAAAGGCATGGTGAGCCTTTGGTGTCAAACCATTGACGAATATGGAGAAGGCATGGTGAGCCTTCAATGTCAAACCATTGACGAATATGGAGAAGGCATGGTGAGCCTTCAATGTCAAACCATTGACGAATATGGAGAAGGCATGGTGAGCCTTCAATGTCAAACCATAGACAAATATTGGCCGGGGGCCAAGGATGGAAACAGTAATACATATGGGTGTTACTTTATAAAAGGGTTTACCGTTCGATGAGGACATCGAACTTCGTCTATAGGTGGTGGAGTTGTGAGACACAAAATCCCTAGGCCCCAAAGTGGAGCTGGAAGGGCGCCACGTGGTAGTGGCCGAATCAAAAGCCAAACAAGCGTAACACGTTTGGACTAAAAGCTCTGACTTGAAAGGTCGAGAGCGGGA